TCCAAGCAGAAGAAGTTGCTCCTGCAGCACTGCCCATTCCTGGCTCGCCTTGACCTCGGCCGCATTTGCTTGTTGTTGGCTAGCTGCTGGCTTTCAACACTCTTGCAAATCCTAAACCCTAAACCCCATACTTCAGCTCCCTTTCACATCATCAGCACCCACTCCGTAGAGCAGACAACGACAGCAGAGGCAGCCATCTTGCGTTGCAAACCCGAGGCCCATTTCAGGTGAGATGATTCCCCCAAAAAACCCTAGAATATATGATACCAAACTCTTTGCGCCCGAATTTGCCCCCCCCTTATGGACGCCTTTGGCTGAGGTTAACCTCTGGCGTGGGTCTGAGATGCCCGGAGATAGCAACCAGGTTCCGCCTTGATGGCGTTGCAGAGAGCTTTCTCACCGTATGCTTCCATAGACGGCCCGGGGGTACATCCAAAGCAGCGGTCTTCGCTGCGTAACCTAGCATGCTTTACACATCACCAACAAAGCACACTTCCTCTGCTTGATTGGGGTTTGGGCTTGCAGGGCGCATGCAAGCCCAGTAGGCTGCGCAGGAAGTACAGCGCGTGCTTCGCTGTACGAAGCGTCGCACGGAGACCTGAGCAGCAATGCCAGCGTCCAGAAGATGCTTGTGTGACGAGATGGAACGACACAGCCTTGCCGCATTCGCTCCTGCCAACGGCACAAGAAAAGCGTAGTTTCCGGGATGCTCGAAGTTCCAAGGGGGCAGCTTCCTCTTAGGGTTTAGGGTTAGGGTTTAGTATTTAGGGTTTGGGGTTCAGCCCTTCACTTGGACCCTCACAGTATGTTCACAATTGCCTGTTTTGCTTTTGGGGGTGTAGGGGGTTTCTGAATTGCACTTAGTCATGTAGGTCGGGAATACATCTTAAGCTTTCTCAGGGGTCCCGTAGCACTTGGGCTCTTGAAATACACAACCCAAAAGAGCTCAAGACCCCCTCAATCACGGAATATACCTCAACTCACACTCTAAGGATTTTTTATATCCTTCAAGGTGTACTCCCTTAATTAGGGGGTGTTGGGGCTGGGGGTATTGGGGCTTTTTGGGAACGTACAAGCTGCGGCTGACAGGCCGGAGTTTGCTGTCGGGTGTTGGGCTGAGTACGATACCGAGCTGGTGCTCCTCTGCCGCAGTTAGAGTGCCTGCACACGCTCTTGACGTGGCCCCGAAGCCCTCTACTAGCTCCGAAACCCTGCAAACCTGAACCCTAAACCCTAAACCCTAAACCCTAAGCCTAGACCCTAAACCCTAAACCCTAAACCCAATGCAAAGGGCACAGCATTGTGGTAGTGCTTGGGCAGGCGCGTGCGCGCCAGCGGTGTTGCCCCTGCGTCCCCAGGATCCCTGCCCTAAAGACGGTCCAGTTCATGAAGATAGTTTTTTTTGAAGATGCCGGTAAGATAACAAGAGAATAATATTCCAAGAGACTAGCATCACAATATATCAACAGAATAGTATTAAAAAGGAGTAAAGCCACACCACACACTAATAGTATAATTAGACAATACGACAATAATGTTTACAATATGACAAAGCACTAATGGCATATTAAGAGATTACGACAATAATGTTGTCATGAAGAAGTCTCCTAAAGCCGACTTGATGGTTCAAGGGGTACTTATAAGCAGGGTTACAAGTACCCTAAAAAGGTTTATAAGTATAGTTGCCATACTTCTAACCCTACTGAGAGATATTCGTGAACCTAACCCTGAATCCTAGACCCAAAGCCCTAAACCCTAAAGGATTGCAAATGAACCGCGCGCGAGAGGTTGCAAGGTTTAGGGCTCAGGGTTTAGGGTTTAGGGCGCAACTAGATCCGGAAAGTTGCCCCGAAGCGTTGCAACAGGCACCCATACAAGCTGCATGTGGCTTTGGGCAGGGTGAAGGCCTGAACCCCTAGAGACTCTTCAGACAGACATCTTGCGCCCGAGCACGCGCCCTAAACCCTAAACCCTAAACCCTAGACCCTAATCCCTAAACCCTAAACCCCCAGGCAAGCCCTACAACGTGCTGTCTAGAGGCGAGAAGCCTCTCGGCGCGCTTAAGTGTCGCAGCCCCTTAACCCAGGGACTCCAATACCCTGAACTGTAAGGAATACTCCGTCAATTCTAGTAGGGTACCTTGAATGGGTTAAGGAATGTTCCTTAATTAAGGGGTAGGATTACGTACTCGTTCAATTCTTACAGGGTACCTTAAATGGTAGAAGGAATATAGTCCCTTGGGAACTCTGTCAACGTAATCATCTCAAACTCTTGCTTATGAGGAGTTAGGGTCCTGTCCTTCCAGAACCGTTTGCGCCCTTTTATTAGGCCATGTCGAAGAATTCCTCTAAGATGTCGTTCCGGCAACTGGGCTTAGGGTTTAAGGCTTCCCCAAGACCTAGACCCCACACTCAAATTCGAGGGTCTAGGGTGTTTTAATGTTAAAACACCCTACATGTTCCCCAAACCCTTAAGCAGCAGACTAAAATTCCAGGGTTTAGGGCCGAGGGAACCTCAAAGCCTTCAGCCGACTTTGCATCCAAGGCATGCTGGTGCTTATCATGGGTTCCCCTACTACCCCCTCTATACTCCCCCCCCCCCCACCTTAAATGATCTTAATTAACTGAATTATCCCCTCTAGAGCCTTGATTATGGGGGCAACATAGGGGGGTAGTATGGTGGGGGGGGTGGGGGGGTAGTAGGGGAACTCTGGGGCTTAGGCTTGGGGTTTCAAGAATGGGTGGCCCAAAGTATGCAAAAATTGCCCAAAACCCTTAAACCCCCAAAACATGTTTACATTCTGGGCTGTTAGGTAGGGCTTAGAGGTGCAGAGGCTCCTCAGCAATGTAGGAGAACACAAAAAGGGGTACGCTCCTTATTGTAAAAAGGGCTGCAGGAACGTGATTTCTTTAGGGTGTAGGGTTCAGGGTACCTATAGTACATGAAAACATTGTAGCCACGGATGCGCAATCAGCATCGCCAAAGTCAGAAAAGCCCTCAATAGAGCTCAAAAACACGTTGCCCCTAAACGCAGAGCATATCGTATATGACATATAGTAGCGATGAGGTACCAGGCTACTAATCTTCTGCTATACCATTCTACCCGCAAGAACCCCCGGTTCCGATTTTTAGGAAGCGTGCCTACATCATCCCGTTTGCCAAGGAGGGGTTCGGGCAAAGTTTAGGGTTTATGGGGTAAAAAATCCCTCAACCCCAAACACTTAGGTACGCGACATCTGTCCGGCCCAAGATAAAAGGGAGCAATGCAGAAATTCCATTGCTTGCCCCTTATATCTCCATACAGATGACGCCGTTTCACCACCTGCGGCTTGCAATCCTCCTGCTCCTTCGGTACTCAGTATCCCTGGCTTCGAATCCGGGAACCTAGGTAGACCCTTGGGAGCTTTTATGTTTTTCCCTTATTGGGTTTTAAGAGCGGCCTATTTCGGAATATTTTTGTTGGAGGGTTTTAAGGACCAACCTAGGAACAAACGAGGGTGCCCCAGGTGTGGTGGCTGGAGTGTGGGGCGACAGCGGGGACAGCTGCGATTCACCGATGTTTTTGGTGCAGTCGGGGGTCTCCAGACGAAAGGGCCCGGGTGCCCTGAAGCCATGGGAGGTCCACATGTACTTCATGGCGATGTACCACAAGGCCGGCACAGCGCTGATGCAAAGAGTGATGACTCTTCATGGCCTAGTGGTACCCTTTCCTAGGTTCTCGTTTTCCATTTAAAAAAACACAACAAATCGAGTACCCTTATGATAATGCGGTTGCTGGGCTAACAAGGACTCTTGTCTTTGACGCCTTGGGGTCGCCATGGTCCTGTGCCACTTGGCCTGGCAACGCAGTGACGAAGAACTCCCTGGCATGCCAAGATCATCCGACCACGCCGATCCCTGGTAGTCCAGTCGTTTAGGGTTTAGGGTTTAGGGTTTAGGGTTTAGGGTTTAGGGTTTAGGGTTTAGTAACCAACGAACATGGGTACCTTGATGGTTGCTGGGCTACCAAGGATACAGGTGCATGCTGCTCCGCCTCTCAAGGTAATTCAGTACACTCGTGCGATTGCCCGGAGCCAGAACTTGAGCCTCAAGGTTGCTCTTACCATTCGGAAACCGAAGGACGGTTTAGGGTTTAGGGTTTAGGGTTTAGGGTTGAGGGTTTAGGGTTTAGGGTTTAGGGTTTAGGGACCTAAGCCCTACCTAAACCCCCCAAGTATGAGAAACCATGGCCCTTTTTGCGGTTTTTTGGCCGTTTTTGTTTCACATACTCTGAGGGTCCAGGTAACCCTAAACCTAAGCCCTAAACCCTGGTTGCCGAAGGACATGCTGGTTTCTAGTTATTGCTATGCCATGCGGGGCGGTGATGCAGCCACACCAGCATTCGAAAACTTCGCATGGTCTGATTTCTTGTCCCTTGGCAACTAGGGTTTGGGGTTTAGGGTTTAGGGTTTCGGGGTGGGTGGTGGCTTAGCCTAAATCCTAAACCCTAATAAACCCCAAACCCTAAACTGTTACGGCGGTTCAGGGTTTGGAGTGCAGGGTCCGCTTCATGAGGTTCCTGTCTTCGGCTCAAGAAATTACAAACCTGTCTAGAAGCAAACCGACTCAAGCCCCGAACCTTTAAGGGGTTTGGGGTTTAGGGTTTAGGGTTCAGGGTTTAGGGTTTAGGGCTTAGGGTTTAGGGTTTAGGGTTGGGATGTTCCCCCGGGTACTAACAGTTCGAAGTAGGGATGATCATCGGGGTACTATAATCCCTTTGAAGGACTGCCAGTTTCAGGGGGGAACATCCCAAGTTTAGGGTTTTTGGGGGCTTCTATGATCCGAAACGGGCCGGTCAGGTCCAATGGTCCGGTTGCGGGCATGACAACTCTGTGGCACTGGGAAATGCAAGATCAAGTTCCTTGGAAGCCCATGGCAACCGTATAATCAGGGTGGTGTTTAAGGGTTTTGGGGTTTAGGGGGAGCCTTTTGCCTTGCTTTGGGAGTTACTTGGTAGCCCATGGAACCGTATAATCAGGGTGATTTTACGGGTTTAGGGTTTATAAGGGTGCCCTCTTGCCTTGTTTTTGGGCCGGAAATTCCTTTATTCTAGGGGCTGCGCGCCGTGCATACCCAAGGTGCCCATGATGCTATCCTGGGATCCCGAAACGGAGGTGTCGTTATCATTTTTCTGATTAACGAGTTAATTACCTCTGTCTAGTTAAGTTTATGACTCTGCTTAAATCACTTGTTACAAGTTTATTTTCTCGGGAGGGGATGGTGGTGCGTGTGTGTCTGTTGGTGTGCTTTGTGTGAGTCATAGGGTTCAGGGTTTAGGGTTTAGG